ATTCAAGGATTTTTATGTTTATGATCATGAGGAATAGTTTTCCGTAATGTCCTTGTGACATATTTGCCTAATCTTAATATTGAAGTGCTATCACAGAACTAATTGGAAAGTATTTCTTCCTTTTTTATCTCTAAAATAGTTTGTGTATGATTAGCATTATTTCTTCATTATATTTCTGATAGAATTCATCAGTGAAGAGATGGTTGTTTAAAGTTTTCTTTGTGGAAGGGGCTTTTTTTTTTAATTACAAATTCAATTTCTATAATGATACAGACTTCAAATTTCGTATTTATTCTTGGGTCAGTTTTGGTAACTTGTGACTTTTCAGTATTCTTCCATTTCATCTAAGTCATCATATTTATTGGTGTAAGATGTTCTTAATATTCCTTCATTATCCTTTTATGTCTGTAGTTTATGTCCCCATTTTCATTCTCTATGCTAATAATTTTTGTCTTTTCTTTTTTCTTAATAAGCCAAGCTAGAGGTTTATCAATCTTATGTCTTTTCCAAGAACCAGCTTCTGATTTTAATGATTTTTTTCTCTATTTTATGTCTATTTTCTATTTCACTGAGTTCTACACTTATCTTGATTATTTACTTCATCTTTAGGTTTAGTTTGCTTTTTGTTACTTAATTTCTTAAGATGGGAACTTAGATCATTAATTTTTATAGCTTTCTTCTTTTCCGGGGCTAGTGAATTTTTTCTGTAAAGGTTCACATAGTACATATGTTAGGTTTTGCATATCACATATGATCTCTGTTGAATTTTCTTCCTATTCTCCTCCTCTTCCTCATGCTTCATTTTTTTTTTACAATCACTTAAAACTGCAGAAGCATTCTTAGCTCACAGGTCATAAAAATAGGCTACAGGCCAAATATGTCCAAAGGGATATAGGTTACTAAATCCTGCTTTTTTCTAATATGAGCATTAAAAGCCATGTTTTTCTCTGAACACTTAACTGCATCCAACAAATGTTGGTATGTTGTATTTTTATTATCATTCAACATACTGTTACATTTCCCTTACAACTTTTTCTTTGACTCACAGAACATTCAGAAGTGTGTTTTTATTATTTTCCAAATTTGGGGAGTGTTTCCTTGATGCTCTTTGTGATTTCTAATTTAATTATGTTGTGGTCAGAGAATATACTTACATGACTTCAGTCTTTTCAAACTTATTGAAGCTTGTGTTATGCCTCAGCTTTTGGTCCATCTTGGTGAATAAATCATGGCAGCTGAAAAAATGTGTATTCTGTAGTTGAGTGTTTTTTTTTTAATAGACACCAACTATTGTATAGTGTTGATAGTCTTGTTCAGTTCTGTGAGCTTATTCTATGATTACTGCATCTTTCTGTATCACAGCTATACCTTACAGGTAAGAAGGGTAAGCAAACCTCTTTGCCATTACACTAAAAATTTCAGATAACAATAACCATGTTATTGCAATAGCCAGCAATTATAAGGATATCTTTTACATCATTGTTTAAAATGGGGAATATTGGAAAGAATCTACATTTCCTACAACTGGGAATTGGGTTAGCAAACAATGGCAAAGTCCTACAATAGAGTATTTTTTTCAGCTATAAAAATGATGCTGTGGAAAGGTAGGTAGTAACTCAGAAAGATATTAAAACTTATTATTAAGTGAAAACAGCAAGTTGTAAAACACCTACATTTGATTAGATTTTTTGCTAGAAAACTCCTACCTATTCACCCAGCTAGCCATCAGTCACCACCTACTGCAGGATTTAGTCCAGTGTATAAGCTGGTTATCTCAGTATGAAAAGATTATGGGTCATTTTATGTTTTATTTTCCTTTTGCTTATCTTTATCTCTATGGTAATTTTTTTCTTTGCTGAGTATTTCTTACTTCTTAACATATGAAAACTAAATGGAATGTATTATAATGAGAGTAAGAGTGAAAGAGAGTCAATGCCAGTGTGCTAGAGAGTGTGTCT